AGATCAATAGGCTTATTATTTGCCCTTGAAACCTCTGTGATGCCGGGGAATCACAGGCATTCCTCAGGATAATTTACACGGCAATAAATAATCTGTGCTGTCCATTGCTTGCTTCATCAGTGTCTGCCCTGGTCATAAAATCCCGGAGGCTCAGTGGCCCCAAGGCTGGAGCACAGTGGACATGTTAACTCCGGCTACAGATGTGTGCACATGGGACACAGTTTCATTGTTGTTTTCTGGCTAATATCCATCCACACAGTTTATCTTTAAGGACTGACATTACTGTCAAAGTTATTTTCCATCTGACTTTTTATTGTTATCATTCCTTTTTTTTTTTTTACCTCTCTTCTGTGCTCAGCACTATATATTATCTCATCTAATCCTCACAACCACCCCTGAGTTAGGCGATTATACCCTTTTTATAGGAGTCGAAACTAAAACTCAAGGAGGTGAAGCTTATTCTCTGAAACCACAGAGCCCATGAGCGATGGAGCTAGGGTTGAACTCAAGTCTTCCTGGACACAAAGCTCATAGGTCCTCCACCAGGACATTTTCTTCACCTGAATGGCTTTCTTCTGCTTCTGCACATGTTTTGTGTTTGTTAGCCTCTTGCGAAGATCTGTAAGTTTCCCATACCATTCAGAGATGAATTTTAAATTAAGAGCATTGCAAATACAGGAAATTTATAGTGACAAACATAGCCAGATTACTTTCTTGTTATCCATCCATTTAGCAGATTTACAGTTCCCATTAATTTTAATCTGTCCTTATTACCTGTTTTATATAACAAATATCTCTTAATCCTGACAGACTGAGTATAGATCACTTGAAGTAGGCTCTCTCTCAGTAAGCAGAATTGCGGCAAAAGATTTGTGAATTAATTGGGAAAATTGCAAATCAGGTAGTCAGTGAAATAATTCATTGTCACATCCAATCAATAAACTTTGTAAATCAACTCATTTAATTCAAAAAATGATCTATATAGATCAAGCAACCAATTAAACAATTAGCATACACTTTGCAATTAATTAATTTAAGCATCAATCATATAATTAAAACTCCAAATTTAAGCTGCAGAATTTAGAAACCCACTGCCTTTCGAACTATTAGGTTCATGCTTCTGAATACTAGCAGATTTGCAGTTTCACAATTCAACTTTGGAGCAGGGTATCTAAAGTGTTTTAAGTTTATCTCAGTTTTAAATTGTCTTTATGTTGATAGAGTTTCCCACCCTTTTCCAGCAAATTGACTTTTTAATTCCCCAAAGAAGGAGAAAGAGATGTGTGTTGATTACAAACTGGGAGAGGCTAGAAACTGGGATTCCTGACAGGGCATTCTAGGGAAGTGAGAAAAGTCCATAAGCAGTTGGTCAGGATAAATCAGGTCATTTGCTTTCCTCTGTTAAGTATCCTCGGTGTTTGGAATCAGGTCCTGCCAAGTGAGGCTGATTTTCTTCAGAGAAGGGAGAACTGTATTGATTGTCTTTGTTCCTTCTTGAGCTAGAGCAGATATTTTCTTAATCCTGACCATAAATCAAAGTCCCCCGATTTCCCCCAGATCACTTTTTCTTTTATAGTTTTGTGTATCTCTTTTATGATACTTATTTTATTTACAATTGTATTATAGCTAATATAGTGATTATTCCCCCACACACACACCCCTCCCACCCCCGCTATATTGTAAGCTTCCTTGAGGACTGTTGCTAACTCTCACCTTTGATCTAAGGGGTTCTGTGTCTAATTTACAAGTGCTCAGTAGTATTTGTTGGAAGAACAGAGAATGTAAAGGCTCTTGTTTCACATTGGTTTTCCCCCCTTTGCACTGCCATGTATTTCCTCCTTATCAAATGAGGTGGGATTTGGGGGATCTGAATATAACTGCAGGCTTCGGGGTAAAGGACAGCAGTTTCCCCAGTTTGCTTGCTGTACATCAGGGCCTCTGGTCGCCGAGTCCCTTTTTCAGCTTGGTTTTCACTCACCTTTTTGGTTTTCCTTTCAGTGAGAATGTCAGTGCCTACTGCCTGCATATTGCTGAGGATGATGGGGAGGTTGACACAGATTTCCCCCCACTGGATTCCAATGAGCCCATTCATAAGTTTGGCTTCAGTACGTTGGCCCTGGTTGAAAAGTATTCATCTCCTGGTCTGACATCCAAAGAGTCACTCTTTGTTCGAATGTGAGTATTGACTCTGTTTGCTTATCTCAGTATCTCATCTCTGCCTTTGGTGTAATTCTGGATTTGATTTTGTTCATTAAATGAATATTTGGTATCTGGAGAGGCCACAGGTAATTATTACTTCCAGCGAGATGCTGGGACAACATTCACATTGTATTTCATGCCTCTGCACCTACATTAAATACAGACTGCTCTGTAGTAGCAAATTGTATTAAGTCGATCTCTGAATGTCCCACCCATGAACTAGGCCTCTGGACAGATTGGGGCACTTTGGAGCCTGTGAGGCAAAAAATTCTCTTCCAATTGAATGAAAATGTGCATCACAGCCACTTCTCTCTTGTGGCTTAACATACTCCCTATTCTTGCCAACTTTGTTCAGATCCATTTTGATGTTTCCTCTTGGTTGCCTTCCTTTAGGCTGAGCAGAGGCTCTTACCCTGCCTGCCTGTGCCTTTGGCAGTCTGGTAGAGCCGATAAAAGCCCTTCTCAGAAAAGTGTTTGTAAACGCAGAAAATAACGTTCACGTGACTACACAAGGATTTCTTGTATTTAAAGGTATCAAACTGTTAAATTTGTGATAGAATAATAATATGTATGGTGTAGTTAATACATTGAGTAACAAGATCTGGTAACTCCTGAAATTTGGTTTCAAAGGGAGTGATTGTGATATTGGAGACATCTGCACCAACTGGAGTGTGCTATCATTATATCTATTTCTGTTCATGACAACTCACCAGCACTGCTAAAAACATTGTGATTTGTTGACTATAATTCAAGAAAATGCTAAATAGCTAGTGAAAATAAGAATGTAATTTTTATTCATTCAAGTCTACAGAGCACCTGAGTTTTACCCATAGGCCCCCATTGTTAGGGGAAAACCAGCAGTATTTTCTCAGCGCAGCTTAAGCTTTTAGCCAAGGTGGCGACAGTCCTGCTCCTGGCCATCTCCTGGGAACAATAGCGATCCCTTTGGCACCCCCTGCTGTTAGTAACCAGCAAATTCACTCTTCAAAAGAGTGCTTTAGAGGACTGTTCTCCCTGTCTCTTTAAAACATATTGCCTTTGTTTCAGGATTTTACTAAAAATAGGGTTATGCTAGCTATGATATATGAGTATTTTGTGTCTTTCTATCCTTGAGCAAAAAATGGATACCTGGGTTCCTGTGGGTGAGCTGGGGTGACGCTTCAAGCTTTTATAATTGCCATTTCATTTCTACGATGAAGTCATGTTGAGTGTATATAACAGCAAATGTGTTCCTTCTTTTTACTTTTCAGAGGCACTAAAACAACAACCTTAAAGAATATTTAAAGTAATTTAAAAGCTCTCTAATGATTCCTTATCCCAATATAACTACTTTCATTTTTGTACAGTCATTTTCATGTGTATATACATACAGTTTCAGTTCTAGCATATAGATAGATAGATAGATAGATAGATATAGATATAGATATAGTTATTTTTACTTCACATTATATTGCAAATTTTTCCATATCTGTTCTTAATTCCTGCATCCTACATTTATTATGTATCAAGGATCTAGACATAGACAACCCCTGTGCTCATGGAGCTTATGCTCTATTGGGAAGATAGTTGTCAAATCATTAGTATGTGATGAGCATGACAACAGAAATGGATGCAGTGGATGCCTGTCATAGGATGTTTAGATTGTTTTCTTGTTTTGCTTTTAAGTGATTCTATGATAGTCCTTGTTTATATCTATTTTCTTTCTGTTGAATAACTTCCTTAGGATAATTTTTTTGTTAGTAGGATTATTGGTCAGAGTAGAAACATCTCTAGACTCTCACTTTGTGTCAATTTACAGTGCAATGTGAGCCTTACATCACAAGGTTTCATTAGAAGATTTTTCTTTTTACTTTAAAAGACGTATACAGTGGTATTTCAATAGTTTTCCTTGCATTGATATTACCTATTGATTACATGAAAGAAGTGTTCTCATTAACACATAATTTTTACACATAGATGTTACATATGATCATAGTAGTGTTTTAAACTGAAAGTCCTTTTTAAAACAATAGCTTTCAAATCAGTGATTTTTAGTAGAGTAGGGTTGGGAGTGGAATGGATAGAAGTGTTTTACTATGAACCCACCTTCCTGGGAATGGAGGGAGTGGGGAAAAGGCAGAGAATAACAATAACTGCTTTAAACTTAATACTCCCCTCCCCCCCCCCCCGAATTACTTCCATTCCTGTACTTTCACTCCCAAACATTCAGACTGAATCAATCCTTTTTCTATTTTTAAAGTTCGGGAGAGCTTATTCCACATGTCTGGAGTGTTTCTGAAAACACGAGGTAAAGCAGAATCTTTATATGTGAGCATTTAGAACAAAAGTGTCACTGAATTTTGTTTCTTTTTCTCAGTTGTCTGAGGAAGTAGTGCAGATTACTGACCATTTGCCCTGTGTATATTTTATTGATTCATCAACCTCCCATTCACCTTTCTGGCCTATAGTCTAAGTTAGAAATTTTTCTCCCGCAAATGCAGGACAGAGCAAACCTTCAGGAGTCTCCAAGGATGTGTCCAACCTTTCAGAGAGTGAAGTCCCAGCAAAATAAGTGAAGCCATTGCTCCTTCTCTTCATTTCCCCCCTTCCTCCTTGCATCTTTCTCCCAGTGGAAAAGGGGCAGGAAGTATATAAACAGGCGTCCCTCGATTGCTGACTGCCAGCTACTCTGAGCTTTACGGGAAGAAAAGTCAAAACCAATAAAATGGACAGAATCCCCCTAGGTCAGAAGTCAGTAAGAGCAATTAAACAGCCCTCATATGTATATGTTTTACTTAAAACGTTTATTATATCAGATGGACATGGGAAAGGAACTGTTCTAACTAAGACTGCAGAGCAAATAGAATCCAATTAAGATTTTGCTCTTTCGGAAAGGGACCACTGAGTGGGCAGGCGGTGGTAGCACAAGAACCGGGCTGCCTCGGGCAGTGTGGCCCAGAGGGCTCCCAGAGGCTGCCTTGGCATCTCTGGCTCTGCATAAAGGGGAAGCTCAGATCCCTTTTAAAGAGGGGAGTCCTAGGTTCCTTGCTCTTTCCTGTATGAGGGGTTTTCAAAAGGGTGGGTAGTTTTACTGTAACTTCTTGACTTGATCTCCAGTACAACCCAAATGACCAGACCGTTACAAAAGGGTATCATTAGTTTGAAGCCTCTCTACTTTTATGTGATCTGCTTTGTGGTCTGGAGAGAACAAAATAAAAGAAAACCAAAAGAAGAAAATTAGTATTTTTGCGCACACACATGATTCTGTAACCCCAGTAGCCATTATCTGATTTATTGCTTATAAGCACCTCTTTTTTTTTTTTAACGTGTATACAGAGGGTCCCTGGTTTATGATGATTCCACTTAAGATTTTTTGACTACCTGGCTGGTGTGGCTTAGTGGTTGAGATCAACCTATGAACCAGGAGGTCGTAGTTCAATTCCTAGTCAGGGCACATGCCCAGGTTGCAGGCTGAACCCCAGCAGGGGGCGTGCAGAAGGCAGCCGATGGGTGATTCTCTCTTATCATTGATGTTTCTGTCTCTCTCTCCTTCTCCCTTCCTCTCTTTGAAACCATTAAAAACATTTTTTTAAAAAGATTTTTTTGACTTTATGATGGTGTGAAAGCAGCATACATTCAGTACATATCCAGTAGAAACCATACTTCAAATTTTGAATTCGGATCTTTTCCCAGGCTACTGGTGTACAGTATGATAGCCTCTCATGATATTGGGCAGCAACAGTGAACTGGAGCTCCCACTTGCGCACGGGCTCACAAGAGTAAACAACTAATACTCTATAATATACTGTGTTACCTGGATTTTTTTAATATTCTGTTCTGAGTTAGCCTAAGCTAAGCTCAGATGTGCGGTAGGTTAGGTGCATTAAATGCATTTTCAGCCCTGGCTGGGTAGCTCAGTTGGTTAGAGTGTCCCCCTGATACCAAGATAGTGCGTTTGATCTCCTGCCAGGGCACATACAGAATACAGTCAGTGAATGCATAGATAAGTGGAACAGAAAATCGATGTTTCTCTCTCTCTCTTCCTCTCTCTCTAACATCAATAAATAAATACAAAAAAATTTAAATGCATTTTCAACTTATGATGTTTGCAACTTACGAGAGGTTTATAGGGATGTAACGCCATCATAAGTCAAGGAGCATCTCTATAAGCTGCAGATCACAGACAGGTAGTTACTTACGCAAGGTCATCCAGTTCAGTAAGGGTCAGAGCTAAAATAGCATGAAGAATTTAAAAAAGAGAGAGATGCCTGTATTCTTTGTAACCAGGCCTGACAGCATGGGTATAAATTTTCCTAGTTATTTATTATTTTCTCCCGTCATAGAGGACCAACTGTGTATTGTTTCTTTTCATTCTGTTGTATTAGCAAACATTTTCATTGTCCAGATTGTCCTCGTGTATGGAAATGAGCATATGCAGCCTGTTTAATTTTGTATTTGTAAATCTGACTTGATTCTCTTTTTGGCAACAGCTACTGTCTAGAGAAAAGAAAAGATTTTTCTTTGTCTCTTTAAAGTGGCAGAAATATTGGAGCAAGTAATAAAGATGGAAAGCATTAATTACATACTTCTAAGAATTTAAAGGTCAGACAAGCTAAATGTGTATGTTTTACTCGCTGGAATGTCTGTCTGCTGATAGTGTGCCAGGATTCACTCTGTTCCTCCAATAAAAGCACACATTTCAGATAGCCATCATCTTACTTTGGTTTCCAAACATTATACCAGATTGTTGCTTTAGTTGCTATATATCTTAAAAGTTTAGGGCTCACATTTCTGACATTAATGTGATTTGTTTTATGATCCAACCCCTTTGGCCATGTTTGGTTACTATGTCTCATTTTGATTTCCTCTGTTCTCCCCTCAGCTTATGTTGGAGTCTGTCAGCTGCTGCTATGTACATGTCAGGCTAGTGACTTGTAATGTTTATTAATACAATGTCAGTCTTGCTGTTGAAAAAAGTGTGATGCTTCTCAGAAGGT